AAATTTAAAATAACCAGAACAAAAAAAAAAAAGGACAGATAGAACAAACTTGTTCCTCCAAAATGCTTCCAATCCATATTGGCCGACCTCTAGTAAATAGATAGCTAGTGAAACTCACTATCCATATGCCTACCAAGTCGAAAAATTAGTGGGGACAAAAGAGCACTAACATAATTCTACAACTATAATTTGATGCCTTTAACTCTCCATAATTCATTCTCTAATTTGAAGTTTTAAAGATCAAAACGAACTTTCTCAGCCGTACAATTTACATCAAGTATATCAACCACTATATTCTCTTATGTCAAAACGCTATACAAGCTAGAACATTCAATCTGCAGGTCATAACATTGATGAAACTATATTTATCCACAAGGAATCAACAGCCACATTAATCAAACATCATCCATTCTTTATTTCTGCAAGTAAACGAACACTAGGCAGAATATGGTATTGTCACAAGAAGTTAACGAGGATTATTGGAAAAATAAATACCTACAGTCTTATTACAAAGAATTACAACAAACAAATACATGAACATATAAGAAAACAAATTTTACCTATATCATGCCCTTGCCAAAATGCTACAACCCATCAAGCGACGGTGCCAACACATCTTGCAAACAGTAATCCTCGAACGAGCAAAACCCATCAAGCAAACCATCAAAAAACCCATCTTCCAACCACCCCTCCCTCTCCACCAACTCCTCTTCCTTTTCCTCATCTTCCTTCATTGCTACCACTCCTTTCAACTTCCGATCCTCCTCCTCCATAACAGCTGGCATGTGCCCTTCAAACAACGACACGTGTCCGAAAAGCTTATCTTTCCTAGAAAAGCTATTCCCACAACTACACTTCCACTTCTTACTCTCTTCCCCACCTCCACAATGCTTCAAATGACTCTTCAAATCAGTAAAAACCGAAAAACTCTTCTTATGACACTTATTACAACCATACATTTTCGGACAATGGCTTCTCTTGAAATGATTCCTTACACAAATAACAGATTTCAACGGCCTAAACTTGTCATGTTTCTTGTTCCTGTTACACCCATCATAGGGGCACGAAAACCGGGTTTTCCGACCCCAATTCTTCACTTCACCTTTATTACCTGTTTTTTTCGCTAACGCCTCGGGAGTTTTATACTGATTCCCATGAGCCCTCATATGCATCCGTAAATTGGCGTCGCGCTTGAACCCTTTACCGCAAATTTCGCAGAAATGTAAATGTTCCGACAGCAACTCGACCGCGTCTAACTCGATTATCTCGGACTCTCCTTCATCGTAATCGTCGACCTCGAGTTTCGGTTCTGGAGTCGGGTTCCGGATTGGAGTCGGGTTTGGGTAATGGCCTTTTTGGGCGCAAGAGAGGAGGGCCGCGCCGTTGACGATGATTTGGTGGATGGCGGAGGCGATTTCGGAGGAGACGAGATCCATCTGATCTTTGGAGATCAAAGTGTTCGTGTTGACCGATTGAGATAGGAAGTGTTGTAGGGAATCCATTCTCGTTTTAACCGTCGAGAGGTTTAGGAGTGGGACACGAGGATCGGCATGGCCGAAGGGTTCTTGTTGAGGGAGAGAGGATCCTTCGCCGCTGGGATATTCCGGCGAGATCCGAAAAGGTTCTCCGAGATTCGACATTTTTTTGGGCAGAAGTGAAGTTTGATAAGCTTAAACAAAAAAGAAAGAGTAAAGCTTTGTCATTATATTTGACTGAAAAAGACAAAAGAGCCACACTCAAAATGAACGCTGGCATTGACACGTGCGGGTTTCAGATTACATCTGGACCGCTTAAACAGTGGCGTGGCGGCCGTGGGCCAGGGAAACCATTGGGGCCATTATTGGACGTGAAGGTAAACTTTTCTTGGATCTACTCGAATAATTGAGTCAAATAAAAAAGCAAGAACCAGAAATTCTGTTTTGGCTGGCTACCGAAACATAATTTTAATATATATTAAGAAGACAAATTGGCTAAACCAATTGAAAGCATTAAAATTGAGTTTGCCAGCCTGGCCAAGAAGACTAGCACGTCGTTTTGTTGCGGAAATGATAGTGTGAATGACGGGAGCGATTACGACCGTAAATGGGAACGGTTGCGGAAAGTCAAGAATCAAAGCTAAAGACCGAAGCCTTATAAAAAAGACAAAGACCACACAAGTCTTTACTAATTTTTTAACTTTTCAAAGTAAATAAGGCAGTTCGAGGTCAATGGGCCTAAGTGGCCTTCACTTTTTTAAAAAAACTGTTTTTTACTAAACTTAACGCAGCCTGAAAGAATGTAGAAGCAAAGGGTCAGGCCTAGCTCAAGTTGGGCTTCACAACTCAAAAGAAGTACGTTTTCATTATATGAATAAATTGATCTAAAAATATCTTTTCCATATATATATAATTGTGATTTTTTTTTCAACAAGCAGTTTCTGTTTTATTTTTTCAATTATCACTTTGTAGATTAATTTTGTTCTCACAAGAATTAAGTTGTTAATTTTATCTAATAAAATTATCACAATATTCTCAATTCAAAGTTTATTTATTTATTTACACTTAAGGGTATTTTTATAATTTATTAAATTCATTTGCTGATGTATTAGGTTTTGTATGACCTAGAATGATGTGATAAATTGTTTCTTTGTTTCTCATATAAAAACAAAATTATTCATAGAATGTTAATTGAGAAAAAAAAACTGACGAATATTGGTGAATACTATAAATAGATTGGAATGCATAATTAGCCTTATTTAACACTTACCTAGTAGTTAATTACTTTGACAAGTGCCTTTGGCAACGGTTGACATTTGGAACTTCATGAAACCTGATTTTCTTGCTTACATTTCTCGGTCACTCTTCCTTTTAATTTGTCATAAATTACATCCAGGTTTCTTTCCATGTAGATCCAGTACAATTTCCCATACAGACTCAGCAACTTGTTTTATTTGAAGTACTCAAAGATGAAGAAGTCCTTGGCAGTAGTAGTTCTGATCCTCTCCATTATTCTTCTCTCCTTCCATCAAGGTTTGCTTCATCAGTCCAAATTTGTTTTATTTTTCAAAACCAATCCGCGACATATAATAAGTTTTACAGGTGAAAGTTTCGAGGGAAGACAATCCTTCGCCACCACCTTATCTATGCAAAGCAGCATTGTGTTCTCAAGCATCCCAAATCCAAGGCTTGGGGAAGATGCAAACTTGATGATGATCGCTTTGTTTGCGAATGTTGTTATCTTTGTCATCAGAAGCATGGTCACCATTAGTTTTCCGGCTTTTATGACTACCTGCAAAAAAATTCTTTTAATATTGCCCCTTAATTGTTTTGGTTTGACTCCAAAGCATGGATGTATGAACAAACGAAATAGTGCTTTAAAATTGAAAATTTGAGATGGCATGATCAACAAGTAATCATAATATCCGTGTACAGTATCAACCTGATCAGTGATATTAATCAAATAGTTCATATATGATAAACTTAAAGAAAGGATTAGCACTTTACGGCCCATAGCACTCTTGTCGCAAGAGGAATATTTGGTAACTACTATATATTGGACAGTGACAATATGGAATTAAGCTGCAGCGTGCAGACCATGTTGGTTTTTCATTAGAAGGTTATCAGTCTTTTGAAGGTTAGCTTTGCAGTGATAATTATGAGCTTATTGCCTATTGCCCATTGGGCCGTTGGACACATTTGACTTTGTAATTATTGGACCAGAATCTAAGGGAGCTCATGAACCATTGGGACTGGACTCTTCTTTAACTTGAGTCTGGGCTAGAACCTAAAACTTCCTTAAACAAGTGTTTAATTTGGGGAAAATTCCTTTGGATTGGGATAACATTGCTCGGGTGCTGGAGCCAAGGTCAAAGGTTAAGTTTAGAGACGACGGGGTGAAGTGTGAATCATGTCTTCGTTGCAAAGTAAGGAGTGAGCAGCCCAATTATGAGCGACAATTATAGTGTATAAAATGGTCCAACAGAGATAACGCCAACATATTAATCAATTCACTGATCCCAGCTAGCCATGCAGAGGCAACCACAAGTTGTTCTGTTTTTAGAATAAAACATATATGCTTAACAGAATCACTAGCGATTATTACATTCTTAATTACATTAAATAAATCCAGATGCCCCACAAGAAAACAACAGCTGAAGACATTCTAATATATATATAAGGTCAGTAGTACTGGCAGAAAATTCAATTAGTAGAATTTTGAATGAGGTTAAAGCAGGCAATTATTGAACATCCCATTTCTGATTAATTAATCCATAGGCAACCATCAACTGTTCATCGTTATCACCAACTACAAAGATATTATAATTGCGTTTGATGAATTTTAGTTAGGGCCCTTCTCTGCTAATCTCAATTTTGTGCAGTAAGAAGACTTGTACATGAACAAGTTCAATTAAATTTGTCTTCTCTGGGTCCGTTAGTCTTAAAGTGGTAGGCATGCGCCTATAGAAGAAAAGCCGACTATTAGCTTAGCTTCTAGTCAAAACTATGAAAGCCTTGCTGAAATATGTGTTGGATTTTGGTCAAATCTCATTCAATAATTTCTTCTCAAGGGTGGGTGCTGTCGCTAAGCCTGCTTAAAATCTTTCCAAGGTAAGTTCGTAATGGAAAGTCTTAGGTTTTTACATCACTCTTTTCAAACATGGCAATGTATGCATTTACGACCCAGTGCTTGGAAATTAGGACAAGATAGGTACTTCAATTTGTCGAATCAGAATAGAGAACCCTGTTTTCTCAATTATTTTACAATTAGCTCTTCTGCTCTGTGCTGAAAGATTTATATCTCACTTCTTGACAACATCTGTCACATTCAAGGCACTGGCATTAGTCTTGGTCTCCATCAATTTCAGAACATGCAGTCCAAGATAAAGTCTACTTCTTCTGTTATGCGCGAGGCGAAGAATTCTTGGGCTCAAAACTCTCCAAAAGTGAAAAGTCTCAGGTTGAACGTCACTCTTTCTGACCTTTAGTTCCGGTATTAGAATCATGGCATATTATATTCACAGAAGTACTCATGAAAAGATTGGAACTTTCTTTATGATGTGGATAAATTGCCTTTTGCAAAGAACTCTTGCAAGAGAAAAAAATCAAAAAGGTAAGATAAGAAGGATGGAATTGAAGACGTCCAAACAACCTCATTCTACTTAAACTATTATTATTTGTTAGTTTAGGTCTAGAGAGGAAGGCTAATAGAAATTTAAGAAGTATATTCTACCCAAATCACCTAATTTTGAATTCAAAGTTACCTAATATGTTTTTCATTATAATACATGGCAGGTTTTACTACTTGTAGTCCTCTTATTCTTCATCAAATTCAATGGTCTTAGTCTCCAATCTTCACCCTTTGGTTCATTTGCACAATTTCTTATAGCCTCGTGACTTTTTTTTTTAACATGAAATATAAGTTATGAAAAAGATTTAAATTAATGTTTTATATTCTATTGTATTAATTTCAAGGCTCATCATGATTAATTAAGGTACAAACTTACAATCGAGACAAGACATCATAACTTACTTGAACTCATATCATTTACTATTGATAAGTCAATTTTGTGTTTGAATAATTTGAATAGCAAAATAATTCTAATATTTTTATCTAAACATGATCAGTATATTTACAAAATATGTCGTATTATATTTTGTATACGTAAACCCTTCACATAAATAAATAAATATAAGTTTTTTTTATCTTGGTATTTATTATTTTGATGTGCCATTTTTTAATTTCTAATGACCATGATATGAACTTATAGGAGATTCACAATGATATGGCTTTATATGAAATGGAACGAGACATGTACAAGATGATGTGATATACTTATTTTGTACAAACTTTTCTCTATACAAATATGTGTGACTGTTTGTTTAAATTAATTATTAATAATAAAGTAATATGATGGTATTCGAATATTCGATTTAAGAATAGATGTAGGTTTATTGATCTAAGAAAAAATTTTAAATGTCTTTTTAATTTTAAAATATATAAAAAATAAAGGATGACAGGTAAAGCATAATATAATAATATTTATTACTTTTTGACTTTTAAGTAGGCAATAATTTGGGACTCTAAGAATATGAGGGATCTGTCTATGTGAATTGTTGATTATTTTATAACAAGGAGAGACTATCTCTATATCCAGGTTGCAGACTATTGTAATTCATCTATGAGGTCTAATCTATATTTAAATGCCCAAAGACAAACAGTTAAAAGAGAAGAAGAACTTTGGAACACCATGTGATCAATTTTCAATCGAAGAAATAGAACTCTATTAGTAAATTATCAACTTATGGTTGTCATTTACTTGCTAGGTATGAAGATGGTGTGTAGACATGCATGACCATTTGACTTTAATCAACAAGCTTGTAAATTTTCTACAACGGCTCGAATTGTGGCTTACTCCAGAAGAATTCTCACTCAACACCATACCATTTCGATTAGTATATACAGCACGGCATCTAATTAATCTCTTGCTTTCAAAGAAAAACTTTTGAATATCAGTGAGGTTACTAATGGTTCAGTTAAAATTAGTATTGCAGTCAATCCCTTGTAAGAAAAGGAAAATAATCCAACCACTCACCCAAGAAATAGTGCCATTAGGGGTCAGCAACTATTGTTTCATGGCTGATAGTCTGTTACAATTAATTAATCCTCATTAATTAAAAAAATGTTGAAAGATGAGTACCTTTTATTAG